CCTCAGCCAGGGTCAACCCACCACAAATATACAGCAGCATTTATGAGGATCTGGTCCTTCTAGAAGGTACCAAGACAGATTTTCTTTCTCTACTGAGATACAGGGAAGTAAAAAAAATAAAAAAAAAAAAAAAAGAAATCTCACACAGCATAAACTGCCCCTCCAGCAAAGAACCAATAGGTATCTGTTTCTAAACAATATAGCTGAGTTGCATCTTAGAGAACACTGACCAAAATCCACAGGTGTATTTAGGCATCTTCATCCTACATATGTTCCAAAATCTCATTGAAACAGTAATTACACACTACAGAAGTTAAACTCCAAAATACCTTTATGACAGATAAAGTTAACAATCCACAAAAAACCCAGCCTCCTTTTAGGCTTCATAAAACGTTTAGGGAGAAGCTAAGCTCATGTTATGGCCATGGATCCCAAACTGTGCTCAACATGTAAGAACAGGTGACACAGGAAGAATTCTAATGCATTGACTATACAGTAGAAAATGAGGCCAAATGAGTCTAAGGATTCCCCCCCCCCTCCCCCCCAATAACTGTAGTTCCTGTAGCACAGAACAACAATCCTAACAACAAGGAGGAAAACACTACTCCAAGGAATGACTTGTTTGAACTTATCCGGCAGATCTGAAAAAGAGTAAGCCTGGGCAGGGCACTGATGATGGTTCTGCACTCTCCGTAACTCCCCGTGTGGTTAAACCTTTTCTGTCTGGGATGGCACATTTCCAGATTCTGCAGGAGACCTAGCAGCATACTCTTGCTCTTACTGAGATGGACATTGTAGGCTGTACTGAATACCATACCTCAAAGCTTAAGAAGCATTCCTCCTCACTGTCCAGAATAATTAAAAATGAATGAGAGGGGAAAAACCCCCACTTAAGTCCTGTTTTCATTTTAAGATAAGCCTGCCAAAATGAGGTGAAGCTATCCGAAAGATGGGAAACATTTTCTAAAACAATAACAACTTTTGTCCTCCATAACTATTTCCATAGAGATAGATTTCAACAGCTGAATTTTCTTGACTAACAAAATGAGAAAAGTTAGTTCCCAAACTGTTCCAACAGCCGAAGCCAAAAAACCCATTTGAACCCAGCCAGAAAGTGTAGAAATTGCCTACATCTCTTCGAGCTCTATAACTCTGCCTCCTGTTTCAAAAGGCTCAGTTGCCAGACAGCAGAAAAGAAAACCTTTTTTGAATTCCTAATTTCAAAAACCTATTGCTAGCAACATGCAAACTTCTCCATAAGTATGTAAATCAGAAGCCATTAAGAACGCTTCTGGCCCTTGAAGTCCTAACAAGAGCAGCAATAGCTTGCTTCCAATGCAGAAGAGTCTGTGAAAATTAATACCTTAGCAGTTTAGAACAAACAAAACCACATAACTAATTTCAAAATATGCAAGAACACAGTCAATAACATTATTGTTTTCATATCTGACATCAAAGACTGATATAACCTGAACTGCTACTCCGATTCACCTGTTCCAGAGGAATGCTCCGGAGAAAAATACGTCCTTTAAAATGAGCTGACAGGATCTTGGTAAGGTGTCTAGCTTTCTCAGTTAGATACCTAGTCTAACTGATTCACCTCTAGTCAAACTAGCAGCTTCTATTGTCACTGAGCAGAAGCATGTTCAGTGGTATTCTTAACAATATTAAAGTAACAAAAACATTTCATTTTAACAGAATTCATGGTCTAATACTGACTCCATGAAAACAACTGCTTTTTCAAATCCTCTTTTCCTTTTATGGGTGTTAGCAGTCTCTTTCTCTTAAAGTATTTGGTTATGCTTGAGATTTAAAATATTTTTTAAATTTTGAAAGTCATGCTAATTGCAAGATACATGCACCATTACCAGTAATATTGTTGCAATTCAGCAAAAGCAGATTCAGACTTTCTATGTTGCATTGTAACAGAACATTTTGAGATGGTCTAAACTATAGCAGGTCAGAGCATTTAGGCAAAAATAGAAAAAACCCAAACCACAACACCACTCCTCTGCAGGAAGAGATGTTATCTAAAGAGCACTATTTTAAACTTCAACTTTCAAAATAAGAGTCACATGTCACTAAGGTCTTTCTTTGGATTCTGTGTTGTATCTGCTCACTGTGGCTGACCACAAAAAGTTTTGACTGTGCTCAGCCTTGAAGCTAAGTTTATTTTTGCAATTGTTTACCACATATGAGTAGTGTTACTAAGTGAGGAATCTAAAGCCTATTGCTCAAACATAATGACCTCAACTGAAGTAAAAAACCCCAAATAACAACAGCTTAAGTAGATTAAAATCAAATATATACTCCTGAGTAACTAATTCCAATCAATAAACTAGGCAAAAATGACACAGGCAAGCAAAAATGACACCCAACAACCTTAAGAGGATTTTTTGCTTGTTTTGAAGTGACTTTTCCCATTTCTCTTATTTGACCTTTTAATTCTTCTTGTGCCAGCTGTTCCCAGGGCATTCCTTACGAACACAGACTTTGTGCTCAGGACATTCGATGCCCGCTGTTAGGAAATGAGTCTTCATCCCCTCAGTAAACCTTAAAAACATAGCTGGTAGGAACTGAGAACGTACACGCGGTTTGCACGCACAGGAACACACCAGCCCACAGACACACGCTTTCACATTTCTTTTCAGTGTACTGGAAACCCACCGTATCCCCCTGCTTGGATGGGTGTTTTTGGAGAAGCACAAGCATATAGACTAAAATCCTCTGTCTGGAAGCCAGCCCGGTTTAATGAGGGCTCAGATGCACTGCGGTGAATTTTTGGCAATGACCGGGCCAGAAGCTCAATGGAGGCAAGAATCTGAAACAAGCAGAAAGTAAGTGATCAAATCTGTTGTTCCAAACTTGTAACAATCTCTTAAAACCAAAAGGCGGAACATCAATTAACTACAGAAAAATATTTATACACAAAATCAAACAGAAACTTCTAAAAAGAGATTACTGTATTGCACTCTGATGTTTACATCCTCAACAAGCTGAAAAGGACATTTTGGGAAGAAACTGTCTCATTTTCCCCTTTAAAAGGGCATACTGATTTCGCTCTGTAAGCATAATGAATATAGTCGCCTTTTACTTGCCTCCTTGTTTATGCAATAGTACCTCTACCTACCATCACTGCAAATAAACACAGCTTTGGCAGCAGTTTGCTTAATATCATTTACTAGACAGTCAGCAGGGGGAGCTCCTTGTTTTTCGAAAATGACTTGGTTACATTCGAACAAGAAAAAAAAAAAAGGTGTCGTGTCCTGCCCCCCTGCCCCAGCTTTTAGAATCCAAACCTTGCTCAGCAGGCATGATAAATCAAGTTTTGTGACAAAACTATGAGTTTCCCTTCATAACGCTTGGGGGAGAGCAAGGAGAGGGGTATGAAGATTTCTGACAACATCCACAACAAATTCTAATTTGTGTGTCCAATTGCAATTGTTACTTTCACTGTCTCCCAGTTAAAATTTTCTCCAAGGCAACTGCTTTTCCAACTACGCAAGTCATTTTAATACCTGCTTTTTGAATTGAAAATGAGCATTTCTAATTAAACAGCACTAACCAGGTACTGAACCAGTACTCTTATGAAATCATTCTATAGCACTAATCAAAAAAATTTTGAACTGGCCAGTGAGTTAATAACTGATCTTTATTTTTAATATTTGAATTGTAAAGTCTACTGAGAATGAAAGAGGAACATTTCTCACCTGTGGAAAAAGGGGTCTCTCATCTCTTTTCTTTTTTAAGCATTCTGCCATTAGTCTCTTCATAGCTTTTGGACAGTTGCTCCGTACTTTGCTGAGGTCTGGAGATAGGTATCCTCGGCCCACCATAAAAATTATCTTTATTTAAGGGGAAGAAAGATGAAAGAGGAAGAAGATGACTCCATAATACAAACAGTAACAAAAGATGAACATTTTGCTAGACCATTTTAGTTCCAGCAGCAAGTTTTCTGCTCCCAGGAAACACTAAGAAACTTGGAAATTTCAATACCGGATAGAGTAATGCTTGCTAACCTATTCAGTACAGAGAAAAAATTAGATTTTTCCTTCTCCTCCTAAGAGAAATTTCTGTGAAACTTGAACACTAGTAAATGGTGACCATTTTTAGCAATAACCATCTAAGGAATGATTCTTCAGTGTCAAAAACTGTTACAGAAACAAAAACAAGCAACTCTGTGGCAGGAACAGAATGTCTAAAAATAAGTATTCTGTAAAAATAAATATTCTGTTTTATATTATAAGTCAACAGCAATTTCATACTGAAAGGTATTTTAGAAACACACTTGAACCCTAGATACTAAAAACATTTACCTTTTGAGAATAAATTCCTTCATATACTTTTCCACCACAAAAGCTTATTCTTGACATTTGACCACCTTCCCAACCCCCCAAAAAAAAAAACAAAAAAAAAAAACACAGAAGAAAAAGAGAAACTGCCTCTCCTCTGCAGAGAGGAGACATACAGGCTTTGTATTTTTCCTTCAGCATGGAAGGCTTGTATTTCACCTAAGGATAAAACTTAAGCATAAAACAAAGTAAACTAATAGCAAGCAGGAAAGCAGAGCATAAATATGGTTAACACTCTCTTGGATACATAAAAAACCCCCAAAAAACCAAACAAACATCATCATGTCAAGCCAAGGTCAAATGCAATGTGGTTTGAGTACCGCAGTTGTGCTGACACTAAAAAGCCCTTTTCAAAGTAGCTAATCAAAGATCCATTCACGCTGCAGCACATAATCACTAGCTTTTCTGAATCTCAGACAGACCCAGCAGGTGTATTACACCTTATATTTAATGAAATGTAACTATTTCATATCTTGCCACTAGGGGAAAAAAAACAACAACAAAACCAGAAAAATCCCACATCTCAAGCAAGCTATACATGTTATTTATACTAACACAATTCTGGTCCTTTTTCAACTTTCTGATTCAGTCGCATCTGTGTTGGCATCAAGAAGGAGTATAAACCTCCCATATGGTTTCTTTAGAAATCCCCATGTGCCAGAGCAGCATTTCATAGTAAAAACTTGTTTATCTCATCCTTTACCTCTGCTGCAATGAGACTTATCATATTCTAGAAGTTACTCTTTTCTAAATAATTACACTATTTAAGTTGAAATTATTCAAAATTCATTATTATTTATGTTTCCAATACTCTCTTTACAAATAGCATAGGGACTAAACTTTTATTTTAACTAGAGAAAAGAGAATATCACTACAAGAACAGTCCTACTCTGCCTAGAAAAATCTGTTAAGGTGACAGAAACACTCTGAGGTATAACAAGAATAATGCTTTACTCACTAAGATTCTTAGTTACATCATGGTAGCTGATGTAGACGCATTAGAGTGAGAAATATTTATGTCTTTTCAGACAATAGACTGGGAGTGACAAAATTCAAGACACATTTTACACGTTGGCTTCACTTGCAATTTTAAATTTGTTTCAGCACTCAACTGTGAGCACCTACAGCACTGGGTTCATCTTTCAAATCTCAAAAGGTAAAACCAAAACAATGCCCAAATACTGCTTTTAGAAGGCTATATACATCTGGCCAGGAATCTGGACATTTCCCTTCTTTCAAAAGGCAAAAAAATTTTAAAAGTAAAAAAAAAAAATCACAATAAAAAAAGAAGTCACTCCAAATTTGATTAATTGGGATGAAGTGTTCTGACAAATATGGAAGCAGCCTTATAAAATGGCATTCACAGATGAACGTTGCTATGGTTGCAATTCTCAAGTACTGACAGTGAAAAAACAAGGGATGCGGACACAGATACAACATAAATATATCACCGCCCAGACATGGAATAGCTTACACCAAAAATCTTGATGCACAGATACTATTTTGAGATTAGACAAAGAAACAATGAATCAGATATGCCTTCGCAAATGTGCCTATCCTGTGGAGATATATTACAGGCATGTGGTATCATTAGACTTAAGGAATTTTGTTCACAATTAAGTTATCTTCTTACAGGATTCACACACTCTGAAAAGTCATATACTCCAAGCAAGATTTGAGAGATGCTGATATCCTGAAATTCAATTAGGTGGTGCATGTATTTCTCAAGATTGAAATGAATATAAAACATTCAGTGAGATGATTGCTGTTCCATTTTGTCAATCCTGTTGCCGAACTATTATTCGGTGCGAGGAGGGGCAGGGGGAAGAGGAATAACTGAACATACAGAGGATCATTTTGCCTTTGCAGAACTATTCTAACCTAGATTACTATTAAGTGACCTGCTCTCTCCCTAATAAGTATCCTGGCAACCAGCTCAGAAGCTGAAAATCTATACTTTGAAGTACAAAAGAACAAAAAAAAACCAAAACACACCCTCAAGAGAAGTAAATTGGTGCTACGTGGCTGAGGTGAGGCAGATCTAGAAAATGTAGAAACGTAATCTCCTAACATCAGAATCAGAAACACAAATCAAACACACAAAATATCAGAACGTGCGCTTCACAAGGCTGAACTGATCTCTGTTTAAGGCCACAGCTGACTGAAATCAATCCCTTCCCTTGCCTTACCTGGTCCCTGTTGTTGATGTTTAAGTATGGTAACTGTCCAGTCATCAATTCGTAAAGAACAATCCCAAACGCATACACATCCGACTGAAAGCTATATGGGTTTTTATCTTGCATCCTAATAACTTCTGGTGCCTGTACCATAAAAGAAAAGAAGTAGTTTTTATTTCACCATGTCAGGCTGCACCTCATGTACCAGGAACAAAACATGGACTTGTCCAGAGTGTAACAGGTGCAAGGCCCACTCTTGCCTTCAGATGTTACCAGGTCCTAATATGGAGTGGATTTTGGTATAAATCTCAAAATCCATCGGTTCAGTTTAGCTTGGTGATCCCTTTATTCCTCTATGACAGAGCAAAATTACCTTGTCCAGGCTGAGAAGCTATTTTGAAACTAGAATTATAACAACAGTGAAAACAATGCCAACTAACAGTCTTCCATTTTTTTTCAGGGAGGAAAGGAGAAAGCGGAGCTGCACAGGAGGTTGTAACTGAGACTTAAGCAAGCTGTACGACCTCTTGAGAGTAGCCACGCTTGAATCCTTAAAACTTAAGAGCATCTTACTGTCACATGAGCCAGTTCCTCTGCTCCTTTGCAGGATGTTTGCCACGGCTTTTCTCATCTTTTCGTCAACCCTGGATTAATCACACCCTTTCTCCTTAGCCACCATTTTCTTTTCAGTTTAAACCTCAGAATAAGGGATGAAGACACTAAAGATTTTTTGCTGACTACTGGAAAACATATGTTTAAATAAGAACTGAAAAGCATTCATTTAGTACTCCATATTACTGCTTGTTTTTTCCAGCTTAAGACAGTTTGTATATGTCAGTGTGCTGGAGGGATAGTCATAGAAACTTTGGCCAAAGGCAATTAAATTTGTCGAAACAAACGCACCACTTCCCCCTTGCTTACCATCCATAGAATAGATCCAGACAACTGTTCAAACTGATGGGATCCACTCCATCGTGATTTCACTGTAGCTAGACCAAAATCACCTATTTTTACTGTGAGGTCTTCATGAAGAAAAATATCTATGGGGGAAATGTTAAGGGAAAAGAAACAAGTAGTACCGGTCCTGTCCTACACGAACGATAAATTACTACAAATTTGCAACATTAGACATAACGGTTTTCACCACCACTGAGGAAGGTTTTCATAGAATACAGGTTCTAAGTAGCCAGCATGGTGAATTATGGAACTTCAGGCTTACATAAGTAATGACTGGGCCAGCGTTGAACAAACCATGGCCCTGGTGGCTTTTGTGAAATGCCAAGTACAAGAAAAGCTGAAAATACTTCATGAGTGAACTGGCATAATCTTTCATCACATGTAGAAACCAAATGATGCAAAAATCTTTGTGATACAACAAAACTTGCTACGTTACTGCATTCACATCAATAGACATAGTAAGTATTCCTTACTTTACTACTACTATTACCCTTTCTCAATGAAAATTCAATTTGGCAAATATTCATACATGAACAGCTTTTCACATCAAAACATTCATTTCTGGCAGAAAAAATACCACAACAAGAATGCTGTCATGTTTCACAACCACATCTTTGGGAAAGGATACTATTACTCTTGAGGTCTCTGTGGATGATTGACTTGGCATGCAAATAACTGAAAAGGAACATCACAGATTAGATGGGTTAAATGATATTTCACTAATCAACAACTCAAAATTCACCGTATTACTGAAACACAAATTCAGTAGATATTCAAATTGTACATATTTATCAAGGTGGTAAAATTTCAATTACCCATGACAGTTCCTGCAACAGTTGTGAGGGGAAAAAAAAAAAAAATAAAGCTTAGATTTCCAGCTCAAACCTGATGCTACTGAAGAATGAAATAACAAATATGCACCAGCTTCTGCTTCTCAGTTCTAACTCAATATTCAAAATAAAAAGAACTTCAGTAGTTTTTGGCATGCAATTCAGTGCTGAAGGTTTTACCTTCCAGCCTTAATGGCGACTGTTAAGACCCCTTGCAGGCTAGTCACAGCTTTAGGTAAAGTGTTTCTAAATTGCAGGAGCTAAATGTGCTTCCAGTCTCAGTGTGTACTCAAGTATGCTGACTGCTTTTTAGTATGGGACTGGAAAAAAGATCCCCTAATTGCAGACTGGATAAACAGATTCCAGGGAACACAGAGAAGAGTACTTGCCCCACAGCATAGATATAGCCTAAATTAGGCAATTAGTCTCCCATGGCTCTTTGTTTAGTCAATGAGATTGGCACAAACCTGCTGCAAAAGCCCCAATTTATGTCTCTGCTTTGAATCACGCTCATGAAACAGCTTCAGCATCTCCACTACCTACAGAGGGAGCCTGGGGAGATGAGCAGGCTAACAGAAGGCTGAAGCTGGCTGCTGCAAACACCTCCACACCTCTTGACTGAAAATGTAATAGAATACTTACTAGAAAAATGGCACAATTAACTGCAATCATCATAGCAGTTTTCCAGCTGGAGGGCGATTTGTCTGATCTTACATCAGTGTTCTGATTTTGACACACAATATTAGGCTAGTTTTGTAAATTCTAACCCGCTCAATTGCCCTCTATGGGAATAAGGATTACTTACAGTCCTTAGAACCAAATAGGTATGTTTTCTTCAAACGCTGAAATCTATTATTTAGAGAGCTATGATACTTATAAGAAAGGAGAAAAACCAAAATCGATTCCTTCTGCTAACAGGGCTGTCTGCCTTCTGCATTATCTTACAGGATTCTGTCCTCTTGTTCAGAGGGTGTTTCTTTTTAAACTATGCTTTACCTCCTACCATAGGATGATCTGCACTGTGAAGATCGTAAAGCCGGGAACAGAAATCTTTGCTCACAAGACTGGAAGTTTAACTACACTGTAATTATCTTTATTTACTATCTAAGACTATATTTCTTTGATGATTTGTATTTCCTTATGTTCCAAAAAAAGAACACAAAGTCTGTTTTACTAATCAAAATAATAAACACTTAAGCAAACGCTTTGATCAAGTCAGGACCCTGGGCTTGGCAAAATGAGCAGATAGCTGGCCTTATTTGCCAATGACAGAGTGCAAAGGGGATAAGTAAACATTGCCCCAATGCTCATTTGCAAACAAGTAGTAAGATACTTACTCCATGCCTTGTGCAGTCTGTCGTGCAATATCAATTAGTTTGATCATTTCAAATTTGGTCTCAATGATGTGTAGATGGTGATATAAGCTGGATCCCTCACACCATTGTGTAACGATAGCCAACTGGGGTTTTGTTGAATAACCCATAAAAAGCAGGATATTCACATGTCGTGTTTTCCTGTTGGAAAAAAAAAATCAGGAGGAAATCAGGCAGATCAGGAAATCAGGGAAAACCCAGGCAGATATCTCACAGTCTACGTATAGCTTTCCAAACAGAAGTTGTTGGGTCATCGTCACCTTTTACTAAGATAACATGATAAACCTGTTGTTAGATTCAGTTTAATAAGTTATTCCAGCAGTTAGCTCTTCTTATCATAATGACACGGAATATCTATTCTGGAGTAAGCATCGCTTCCTCTTGCTTTTCCAAGCAACCCAACCCAGGACTGCTCAGAAGATGCTGATACCACTAGGTCCCCATGGGACAACAACAGTTTGTGGGCAGATCTGCTTTTGTGTAACCCCAGTCCAGCTATGAGATGTTGCTGCTCAGGAGGAGGACATCCAAAATCAAATTCCAGTCTCAGAGGCTTCCAGAAAGGACAACTCTTTCATTCAGAAACCAGCACCACACTTCCTTGACAAGGCTTTGGTTTTTCTTAGTGCTTTATTTGACAAGAATTTCGTACTCTCTATGGATCCATACAAGAAAGGATGGAAACAGGTATGAAAACTGTACCTCAGTAAGGTTAGGATATGAATTTGTTTCCAAACAGCACTGGGAGAGACTGGATTTCATCAGAGATTTGGTCAGATTAAATCAAACCTATTTCAAAAATGGAGCAACTCCAGACAGAAAAACTTCACAATGAAGAATGTAGCATTATCTCAGTAACATGCAAAGCCTGAAAGAATTGACTGATATGCTGTGAAATCTGAAAGATTCTCCTCACCCTCTAGGGAAAGTCAATCACATTCTTATTGTCATCAAATGCACATGAAGAACTAGATACCTCCAAACATACCAATGAGACATTACAAAGATGAAGTACCTAAGAATTGGGGAGTATTTCCTAGCTTTCCCAGGGTCTGAGGAAAAATAAAGGCAATCTTCTTCCAACACAGCTCAGTACCAAAGGCAGTCAGCTCACTGTTGATGAAACCTGACAGACGAAGCTTAAAACCTGTGGTAGCTTCTTAAATCTATGCTGCTGCTGAAGATGGCAGAGCTCTATCTTTTCTTACATTAACAAAATAACATGGGAGCCTAGAGTGAGAATCCCTTTGTCGTCTCAGCAATGCAGACTAGAACAGTTCTACACTATGTGACTGTGCCTTCTTAGGTTCAAGGGTTTGTCAAGTGATGCTGAGAGTAACTGCTGAGTGAACAAAAAATAAACGGTTTCTTGCAAATCCTACCTCAAAGCTAAGAGAGTAATGATGAAGCATAATGGAAAAGGCACAACTACAGGTAAATCTGGCTTGTTTGGGTCAAAGGATAGGACAATTGACTATTTACTGTAAGTGCTGAAACGATCAACAACAGAGAAAGGCTGGACTGCCAGCAGAAATCTGGACTAGGTATGAAATAAAAGACTTGATTCCATGAAGTTCTCCTGAGCAGGTATGTCAAAAATATGCAGAGATACCCAAAGTAGCATGCCCCAGAAAGCCTCTACCTCCACAACTATGGGCTTAGAGTTTTCAGAACTAACATTTCCTGGGGAAAAAGGCTGACCATCCCCTTTTCACTGTGTAGCTTATTGGGGATGCTCCTCCAGCACAGGCACCCAGCTCAACACATCAGTTTTCCAGAGGCAAAAATTCTCAAAACAGAATTATGCTCAAGACTGCTGAAGATTGTACTTGCATGCTAATGGTCTTCCTCAGCAAATAATCTATTCTATTGTGTTGATGGATCCTCTTTTAAGAGCTGAACCCAAGACAAATACTTCCTCTGAGCAAGTACAAGCAGCAGACATGAGAAAAGGAAACAGAGAAGTGACTTTGAGAAATACATTTAAAAAAATCTCAGAGAGAGGTGAATGCTACTGAACAGAAACTATTAAACAATGGATAATATGAGCAGTGCTGTAGCTCAAACCCAACAATTAGTCATGCTCTCCTTCAATCTCAAAACGTGGATGAGAGAAAAGAATGGCCTACAGTTGACACTTAGGCTTGACTGTGCCCTGGGGGTAATAGAATAGCAAAAACCAGTCCTATCTTGAGTATTTGGACATACATATCTCCACAACATAGGTGTATAGACAAATGCATACAGAGGAAGGAAGAACTAGCAGTGGATACAAAGAAATATTTTTAAATGGCAAGTTATATTTTCTGCCTAACGTATCATCATGGAGAAATAAGACCAATGTGTTCTAATGCAAATCTAAAATTCAATGATTAATGAAGTATAAATCTACAGACATTATTTTATGCCATTAAAAATATTCTTACCTGAGCACTCCTACTTCATTTTTAAAAGCCTGTAACTGTTGAGGTGTGGGTGCCGTAACATTCAACATTTTCACTGCTACATCACCTTTAAAATAGCAATTTTTAAATAAGTGTCACTGATACGTATTCCTCTAAAGACAAAATGCTATATAGAGCATTAGAAATATTGAGATACACTATTTTCTAGCTTTCTTGAAATAAACCACTACAATATTAAAATAAGTAAATATTCTGTAAAATGTATAAACATTATTCTTATTGTGCTCTGAGAAATCCTAACCAAGTCAAAGCTTTCCAAATACATACTTGAAGTCCTCGTTCATCAAGATGGATACTTTGGCCTTTCTAGTAATTATGTTTTAACTTTATCCTAATAATTACTTAATTCAGAAGAACATGCAAGAGTTGAGTTTCTAAACAGTTTGAAGTTCTAACATTACTTATTTAGGTCACTACTTATTAAAAATCATCTTTATGGCCTTTTCAGTGGACTCTCCCCAGTATGTCCATGTCTCTCTTGTACTGAGGAGCCTAGAACTGGACCCAGCACTCCAGGTGTGGCCTCACCAGTGCTGAGGGGAAGGATCACCTCCCTCGACCTGCTGGCAATGCTTTGCCTAATGCAGCCCACGATACCATCAGCTTTCTTTGCTGCATGGGCGCACTGCTGGCTTATGTTCAACTTGGTGTCCACCAGGACACCCAGGCACTTTTTTGCGAAGCCGCTTTCCAGCTGGGTGGCCCCCAGCAGGCAATGTTACTTAGTTAAGAATAACTGTTTGCCGTGATGGCCACATACCATGCCACTTTCCTTTGTAGACTGTTCCAAATGATCCAGATCCTATCCTTTGTCCAACTGTGATCTGTCCATCTGGTATCTCCCAATCATCACTTGAATCCCGTCGACCAAGAGTTTTCTTTATATATATCCATAAACGACAAAAAGGAAGAAAGCGAGTGCATTAATTTCTGTGAAAACAGCTCCTTTGTTAAAGATTCAGTATCAGCATTTCATATCATTAAAGTCCTAAAAGAACTTTCTTTTTCAGGAACTGCATTTGACTTTTCAAACCAGCCATACACAAAACCTCAGCACACAAGTATACTCAATTATTTCCTGGCATGAAATGTTTGCCACTGGTTTCTGGCAGTGTTAAAACCAGTAAATATTAAGAAACTCTTATCAAAAAGAAAGTCTCATTTGTTTTTCAATTCTTAATCATAATGCTAAATTGTGAATTAAAAAAATGCAGACATTTTTATGTATTGCTACATTTGAAAGTTCTCTAGTGATTCTCAAATTTCATGAGTCACGGTTGGAAAAGTTAAGCTGTTATTTGAAGGGAAGCTGGCATTAGAATATGAAGCACACCAAGACATTTGGGTGCAATGAAGTAAACGTGAGTATAGTAAATTATTTAAATGATTTATATATCAGTCCCACAATTTCGATATTCCATTATTTATTGGTCCTTGATCATTACTATACTTACCTTGAGAATAACTTGGAAGGCGCTGATGAAAGAAAAGCAAGAGGAACATGGTTTTGCAGTATTTCTGTGCTATGAATATACCATACTATGAATGAAAATAACATCTTTCCCTTACCATTCTATTTCTGTCTTCTGAGGATGAGGATGATTTCCTTTCCCGTTGGGGTCCTGGTGATTTCTGTAACGCTTTCACATTGGTGAGTGACCCAGGCAAAGAGGCAGGAGGTGTTGCAGACAAACCTGCCGTTGAGCCTAAATTTCAGAAACAGGATAATTTTATCTATAAGAAGCCAGCTTACAAGAATGTATTGATATTAGGTGCAAGAATTGTGTTTAAGATGCAGTATCTCCAAACATCAATGTAAATGTTAAGAGGGAACAAACATATACTAGGAATACTGTCCTAATATTAGATCAGTGCTCAAGTCTTACATTTCAGGAAGAGACAAGTCTATAGCAAAAATCCCTGTATACCAGATAGTCCCCAGTCTCTTGATCATGAATTATCAGAAGGACAATGTCTCTTTAAATAGAAAAAAAATGAATAATGTATTTTTTAATTCCACCAATTTCTTTGAGAAAAAAAGTAGTACCATTTTAGTTAGCAGCAGCTACCTCTCAGATCTCTTGTAGCTAACCTTTTAGGGACCAAATAAATAGCTGAAATACTGTACTTTGGAATCAAAATAGACTAAGTGCAAAAAACTGAAATGTTTTCTAGTTGAGTCTCCAAGTGCCACCTGAAAACCATTTGGCTGTTTTAAAGCTATCTTTTAGCAGAAAGCTCTTATTTAAAAGTACATATTAGACTGTAAAAAGGATTAAAAAAGAACAAGTACTTTAGTTAGCTGTTTGAAGCATATTCTATTAACTACAAAAAGAACAGTACATCTGTAGCCTATATGTTATCTAAATAAAACTATGCAGGAAAACATGGCTAACAGAGCTGTGTTTCAGAGCCTCAATGGCTCTTTACAAATAGAGCACTTCAACTAGACACTGCTTTTTAAAATACACCATAATTATTTGTAACAAGGTTATGATGACCCTCCCAATGCAAAGGACATAAAATAGGGTCAACTGTTAATTAAATTCATGCTGCTCCGCTGAACAATGTATGTCATTGTACAAGACCTCCAACATTCCAATGCTTCCTCTCACAGCAGTGCTTTGAGGAGTGGTAGAAGACAACACTACTCCTCGTAGTCCTTCAGAAGCCCCCTTCTTACCAAAAAAGTGTCTCCTAATGCCAGCTTGAGTTCAAAAACTGACTTTGCAACTTTTTAAACTGTTGTTTGAGTTCAGTGACTCACTGCGTGCTAATTTATCAGACTATATATATCCATCACTGCTTGTCCTCACTGAGCTAAAATCCATACATTCAGAAGTGGAAACACAAAATAATGACATACCAACACATCAAAAATAGGATGCAGTATCCATAAACTTTGTCCCTCACGCTAAAGCAACAATAATGATGCATATTGGGCATTCTAACTACATTTACAAACAGCTGGACACCAGTGACCTAAGGATGGACTTTTGTTTATATTGTTACAGTCACTAAGCTGTCATATATTTATTATACTATTTGTCTGAAATCACACATATATGGAATTAAATGTATGATGTTCCTAGAACATGAGCAATTTTCCAAAAGTTTACTGGGTTACAGACTTTCTCTGTAATAGCAAAGCTCTACAGAATGTGTTTTCTTTAGAGGTAACTAAAGTCTCCTACTTACACTTTAAAACCACTATATAGAAACACTAGCACACTATTCACCCTTGACCAAAAAGGCTTACAGCACACGGTAGAACACAGTTAATCTGTTCATAATAATACCAGATGGCCTGTTTTCCAAGTTATTAGAGTAGAATACTTCAGATAATGTTGGACTTAAGTCATTAGCTTGGACTCTGAAGCTGTACGTAACGTATTCCATTCTGTAGCCAGTTTGCCTGTTGGGAACACCTGTCTTCTTACAAAGACTTCTGGAAGAACTTTGCAAGTTCATAAGGTGAACTGCTCTTGATATATTCTGAAACAAAAGTCTTTGAAACAGCCAAGATGGTAGCATTTGAAAACCACACTACATGCACTGAACTACCCGCTTCTACATGTATATGCATATACACAAATATTTACATTTCATGCTATTACTAAATAGTTGGTTTCTCCAGCACACGAAATCCCATGGAGTTTTTTGGGGATTTTGTGCAATACAACAGATCCATTGACAGCTTTAGGCCTGAATTACCCCCAGAGTCAATGATGTGAAAATGGAAGAGTCTTATTTTACATGGTACAGGACACAAACAAATACTCCCTGGAAATTTACTAACTACATGGTCTAAAACCATCTAGGGCCCCACTGTGGTATCAATAGCACATTCTCAAAATGAAGTATTCGTTGAAAGTTGACATGTCACATTACTTGAAAAGCTTGAGACCTAATAAGATATCAATGGAAATGTTTGTAATTCACATTTGATTTCCTAGATTACTTTTCAAAATAAAGAATATTAAATATACAAAACTGTTAAAGCACTGAACTGACTTAAACTGAACAGTCAAGGAAATTCTAAGTTAAGGACATCACTTTGTCTTTAAAATCACTGCAATGCAATCCAAGGACCTTCGTTTTGAAAAATTATGTTAAGGTCCGCATAAAACCCTCAACTATGAAATTCCTTGCTTTTGAAGATTTAAGTCAGACTTTATAGTCATTTTCAAGCGTGTAAAGGTGAAAGTGAGTATGTGTGAAAAGCACATTCAAAGCATTCCAGCCAGGCCAAGCAAAAACCAGAGGTGTTTTGATAAAACTCACACACTTACATACACACGGTGTGAGGGTGAAGCACAAACAGCATCTGTGGTTTTACTTATTTTGTTTGGGTGAAAACAAGAAAGAAGAGCCCAACTACCTCTGAACACTGGGCCAGGCTCAAAATCAAACACTATTTCACTGGGGACAGAATGAAGGAGGGGACTGGGAGTCCGGGATTGGTATTTCCGAAGACAGCGCATCAGCTGGTTCAAAGGGGCTGTTAGAGAGAAAGAGACGGGCAGGCAGAGACAGAAAGACAGACACATAGAAGAAATGAAAGAAGTCATGGGAAATAACTAGGATGCTTTGACTCCTATTCATAGATTGCTTCTGTTCTTTGAAGGAAAAAAAAAAAGTCAATTACTAGTAACACTGTTTCAGGACTGGGAATAGCCAATTGTTTTCAGATGCCAAGCAGACAGTTTATGATCAAAAGTTAAAACCAACATGATAGCACAACATTTAAATGCTGGACAAAATGGGCAAAACTGTAGAGAGCCACACCTATCAACACATACAAAAATACTGGCAACTTTAAATTAGTAGGCTTGCAGGATTAAACAAAATTTCTTTTCAAAAAGCGTTCTATTGCTGGCATAAGAAAAAACAGCTCCAAACACAACGCAGTATGTAGGTACCATCCTACCACCTACCAGATTTGGATGGGAGAAACATAGTCAGTGAGAGCCCACAGCACAAAACCTTAGAGATCAGGATAGAGTGCACTAAGGTAATTCAGACTTTACTTATGGCTGAAGCAAGTTATAATTAGTAGGAGATGACTGTGTTAATGATTTGGAGTTGGAAAAATCATCATATGCCCACTCAACTATTTCATTATTTCTGTATTATTTTTATATTCATAGGAATAAATACAGCACATAAGAAGCCCTCTCAGGACCTTGACAGCCAGTGCGAGAAGTGACTTAACAGGCCCACGCATAACACGTGAAGAAAAAAAAAATATATCTTCTGGCACTAGTTCTGACTTAACTGTGAATTAGGGCTGTGTATTACTGAAGGAAACATAAAAAGACCTGGCTTTAGTGTAAGGTCCTAACAACCTGGTTCCAAGAGTAGCACAGGCATGCAGTACAGCAAAGCAGCATCTTCAGCAGGGGTAGAGGGGGAGAAGAACCGGAGTGTTTCATGCTGCTTTAGGATGCAGCAGTTCATATGGAAGGTCCATCTACCATGTTGATGGTTTTCAAAGAAAATCCCCATTGTTTCCATGAGTGGAAAGGTAACAACAGGCATGACAATCTTTGAGAGTTGGGAAGTTGTAGCATATCTGCGTGCAGCCACGTGAGTGAACGAGTGTGTGTGTGAGAGAGCAAAAAAAGTGACAGTGCAAGACAATTTTTAAAAATAAAAAGCTAGATAACACTTGAAAACTTTTTCTCCTTCCGTCTCCCCCACTCCCAGAATGACTGGCAAATGACTCAGATCTTTGTCAGACAAATATTAAGTTCATGGACAAGCAAATGCAAATTCATTTTTTGTTCTAGTCATATTTTCCTTTGTGCCTGTGTTTTGTAGAAGGAAGTATAACAAAGGGAAGGGACAGAGCGGTTGTGTAATTAAATACAGGACAGTAACTAGTTTAAACACTACTTACCTCCCTCTCCTCGTAAACTCTGGTTTCTAATCAAGTCCTATAAATAAATTTTAAAAAAGTGTTTAATTTATGTATTGTCATTTACATTCCAGAATCAATTCAGATTGATCAAATTAAGAATCCATAACCTCACATGTTGTCCATGAAATAAAAGTTGTTTCCTACCCTGGCTTTCTAATCGTAGCAACTCCAAAGAACTATTTATAACAACTACTAAACTTTTCAAAATTATTTGCTTTAAAACAGCATCTCTCTGTAGTAAAGTGTAGTACACCACTCGAAATAGATGCTGACGTGAAAATACCGATTTAAACATGCAGTCGGTCAAAATGCATGAAAAAACATCCAACCAAACATTCCAGTTACAGTGTTTGTGGCACAAATTATTGGAACTGTCATATCAGAAGCTGGGACACCAATTTCCTGTACTGAGATACATCAGTAAAATGAGTTCTGCTTAGTTTTTTCTTGTAACAAAGCACCTCATTTGCATAGCCAGGCGCACTCTGTTCTTCTCAGAAATGACTAACTGCAAAAGGTTTCCTTCACTTGCAATCCACTGTGAACTGAGAGTATCTTTTACAACATATTCAGACTAAAAGCAAACTATACTAAGGATTTTCTAAACAGAAGATAATTTAAAAAATTCTAGCAGTTTCCCTCTGTATTTCCACTTTCATCATCTTTTCTTTTTCCTGTTACACAAGCATTTTATTCCTTTATACCCCAGCACTGCTGTCGAAAGCACTGGTCCTGCCTCTCTGCTGCACCACTGCCATGCATCATATGCAAATGTCTACGCGACTATTCTTAATACTAAACTAACATTTCACCTTTCACCCAGCTCAGGTGCAAAACCGATTTTGTGCCTCAGCGTCCAGGCAGACTTTGAGACTGCTCGCCTGACAAATGATTAATTTCTAGCAAGTAGACTTAAGGGTAAAATACAAGCTGTATATGTCAGCGAAATTAGAAAGAGGTTGTTGCGACCAACATTTTCAAAGGTCCTAGTTGCCTTATATCTATTATCAACCATTATTATTATTTATGATTCAGCATCCAGAAATCTAAAAACTGTGCAACACGAGTTAAGTGTACCAGTTTCTGAACACTCCACAAGAATGCTCAGAACAATATATACTGGGCTTCTGAAATCCTAAGGAACATTCAGTAAATCTGAACTCAGCTTACTGCAATAATTTAATTTTCTTGAATGCCAGAAATATCACTTGAATTACAAATATTAAAAATCCTTATCTTGCATATAAAAAAATGCTTAACATATAATTGTTTGCAGGAGTAGTTACTGGCTTACATATTCTTAATGCTGTGGTAGAGCTAGTAGCACGAGCCTTGGGACTAATGACAAAAAAAAAAGCAGTGGTTTGTGGTAGAATGTTTCTTTGCAAATGAAAGGACAGGACTGTCAAAAGGCAGCTTCTACTTTTGGAGGATGGGTTATTTGCGTTCTTACAGCTCTCAACAGCAGAAGTGTCTTAACGTGGGATCTATGAAGATCCTGACAGATCACCAAGGATTTGCTTAGAAACACAGCACTCGTGTGTACATGTGATAAATTTAATGCACTGATATTCACAAGGGAAATATCAAATCTACTATTCCCGATCCCAACTTTATTAATACTTACATCAATATTGACTGGCTCGATTGTATTGATGTGAACATTGGGAGCTGAAGAGGATCGGTCGCGTTGCCCAAATTGATTCCGATGGTCTTCATCTGCTGGTCGGAGGGGCTGTGGGATTGGAATGGATTTTGAAGGAGAAGGACTAGGGAGAATTGGTGGTCTGAGAAACAAAGTCAAGGAAAAAGAGGATTTAGGTCTACAAATGGCTTCAAATACTGCATAGTGGGTGTGGTAAGTCCTTTTCAACTATAATAATACATACATTAAAAAAACTGATCTAAAGGCCTGCATAAAAACAATTTTTAATGAATGATCCCTACTCCCCTACGATCAATTGCAACAACCCTCTGCTGCACAAACTACCTAATTACATGGCTGTGAAGTGTTCCGAGTTAAAACAAAAAAGCCTAACATACCATACCAAACTACTAGTAATAAATCCTGATCTGAAAAATTCATGTAGCCCAACATGCATTGCAGATAGCAAGATAATCTGCAGTTTCCTCACTTCAGAGTTAATGCAATACACTCTTTTTTCATGGCAGCCCATTGAGAACTAAAAATGCTTAATATCACACAACAACAGCCAGAAGATGTCACGAAACAAATTGTATGGATGAGATTATTGCTCAATAAAGAAAGACTGAAAATTACATACTGGTCACTCAACATAATTAATTAATGTTATCGCCAATGCTATACAAATTATTGATACTAAAAATAAACATGTCACCTCTTAACCTCAACGTTTAAGAAATAACTTTGAATAGTGCAACGTTTCAAGTGTTATTTACAGTGAGACAGTTAGGCAATGCAATAGATTTGACTTGAAAGGTAAGTGTTCAGACTATACAGACACATTCTCTGAAGAAATACAAATGCTGCCAGTCACAAATGTAGATAAAGTCTTTAATTTGTGGTATCATGAATCATATATTTAAAAGACAAAACATCTAAACACTTGCTTTTTCATTTGTAAGAATGTCATTTCTTAAACAAAATAAATGGATAAATGAAGTACAATAAATTGGCATTTATCTCTTACTCAAGGTCAGTCAATTGTAAGTGTAATGATTCAATTTAATGGATATAAGTCAAAAGGTCAACGAGAAACAGCCACCTTTGTCAAAGACAACTTTATGTTAAAATATACATCACATCTGACAACAAGGTTTTCGAACTTACAGAAAAAACATCTCCTAAGAGAGGAGTAGAGTCCTCCAGCCATTCAACTACTCATGGGTTCGTTACCATGCCCACAAAGGCAATGCCCTTGAGGAGAAGCTTCAGAAATAAAGCACACAGCAGCATATAGCAGCAATAGGAGCAATAGGTCCTGGGGCTGCCTCCTCTAAGCGAACACTCCTTGGCCTCTAACATTTTCAACAGGATCTCTTGACATTTTTTCAGAAATGGGTCTGCTTTAAAGACTATTACCCTACCTTTCCTTGAAGGGTTTATACAGTTCGGCACTGATCCCAGAACTCAGTGTTATCTGTATCTTAAATACCTGTCACCTTTTCTTTCCTGGCCAACAATCTCACAATTGAGAATGGCAAAACAGAGTGCTTACAAATTAATTCAATATCAGTCTAGTAAGTCTTGTAATAAAATACTTAGATTATGTTTTGGGAAGTGGGGCAAGGGAAGAATAGGTAGAGGGTTTAACCCTGCTTAACATTTTTTTTTTTAAATAGTTACCTACTGTCACAGAATATAAATATTGGGAAGATACTGGGAAGCAATGAACTGAAACTGCCAATAGACAAATTCCCGGGAAAGGGCCTTGAACGGACAAGCATTTCAGAAGATGCTCAGAATTTCAGAAACATTTTTAAAATGCAGTTGATGTACATATATAGATAAGCTAAAGTTTTCGTTCATTGCTAACAAATACCTTCGGGTAAAATCTTTTCTACTGTAGATGAGGAAGTTTTGAACTCCTGACCATTTTTGTAAGGAAATCAGGCAACGAGAACCCACATCAGGAGATGGGACACTGCACAGAAACAAGCACACGACTTGGCTGACATTCTAAGGCACTCTATTTTCATGTTAAAGGCAAGTGTGTCAGATGCTGCACAGAATGATTTCAGAAGAAAAGCCTAAAAAGCGTCTCAGCCAGGCCAGCACTGTCATTGTTGGGATAGTTAACTCCTGCTCAAACTTCCTAAGAGTTCTCAGTAATAAGGAAATTAAGGGAAATGTGTAACAACAAACATCAGCTCATTGCACTAGGAGTGACTGTGAGGCAGCGCTGTGAGCTCTGCCACGTGATGAGAACAGAAGCAATCAGATTTTCTGTGATGGTGAGTAAGCCAAGGGAAAGAAAACCAAACTGCAGAAATGCTGTTTCAATCACATCCTCGTTTGAGTCATAAATGGTCATCTGCTAAGGGAATCTGCAAATGCTTCTGTACTTCTGGTCACAGGTCATCACGCCCATCACGTTGCCAGCACTGATGGCATGCTATGTCATATCATGTTCGAAAACAATTTGAATAGCTTTTTCTACTCATTAAATTCTAACTGGGGGAGGTTCAGATCTTTAGAAAACAATTACAGGCTGATAAAGAACTCTTTTTTTGAGACTCTAAACAATTATTGTGAGGATTTCTGGGCTTTAGACACCAAAGAATCCAGAATTGGGAATCTCATAAGCAGTTAGCCACATGCTCCATCTATACAATCAGGATTTCATTAAAGGGTGTCCTCCAGACACTGAGAAAAAGGTAGGTTATTTTTGCTAAATAGGAATTTTACTTGAAAAAGGTAACTAGTGAGGAGAAAGACACAAGCGGTTTGCTAGCCAAGATGGCCTACTGAGATCACAAGCGGAGAAGAGATTACCACCAGGCTCTGCCTATGTGCAGCAAATCTTTATCTTGATCTGCATCAAGATCTCAATCTACAGAAAACCCATCACCACAAAAAATGCAGCAACCCTCTTAGCTACCAAAAACCCGTTCTTACAGTATTCCTAAATTTTAATTACTCCAGGAAGACAGAAGGGACACCAGAGCAAAAAGGACTGCCCATTATCATTTAGAAAAGGCTGACATTGTCTATTCCAGGCAAGTTACAAAATTAGTTCTGTAGGCTATGCAAACATAGTGCCAGCATATTGCCAGAAAAATAAAATAATAATAAAAAAATAATCAAGAGGACCAGAACACAACTGCTGCAAAGAACTGTTTACTGTGGCATACACATGTAGCAGGCTGGGCCTTAAAGGAGCAGCAATTTAAACACCAGGATCTGAGTTTCTGTTGCTCCTGTGGCCTTTGTGAGCAGTTAATGGCCAAGCTGCTCACTAGAGGAGACCTTCTACAAATAAAAAGGTCAATATTCTGACATATTAGAGATGTTGTACCGCCTCATCTTGCACACTTTCTTCCAACCTCTTAGAGGTGGGCAGTCCTTTAACAAACAATTCTCAGCTTCCCAGGCAACAAGCTGATAGAGTTGTCAAATCTCCTGGCAGTATGACAGAACAAGCTTTTTCCTTGGACCATGTATTTGGGATAAACACACTGTTTCCTCCCTTTTTATCAAGGCAAAACAGAAAGAGGTTTTGTCAGGAGAGAAGAGTAACTGCAGACAAATATAGGTTTTTGGTTTGTTTTTTTTTTACCCTTTGTCAATCACAGCAAGTGCCAACATGTCCACAGATTTACTACTCTACAAAATTTGGTCCATGGGAAGGAGGAAGGTAACTCAGAAAAGTGCCCACACATGCTGTGTTACGCAGAAACAAATAATTTTATAAAATCATATACAGTACCTCCACTGGATCTTAGAACTTGCAATGATGCAATTTAGTTCACTTTACAAATATGAAAGAAAATTTGAATACAGATTTTCCTCAATTTCCTTTACCTCACCAATGTGATGTTTCATATATTTAAGAGCTGGTCTACTCAGGAAAGATTTTTCTTAAAAGAGGTTTGTTTGGGCTTCAAGATTTTTGCTGGGATTTTTTATTTTGCTGTAGGTAGGCAAACAGTTAACACTGAAAATTCACATTCATCTACCTTCAGTTATAGGGTATGCGTCACTTCTCTTAAAATGACAGCATCTCTGCTGGACTGAGATTCTTCTCCCCCCCCTCCCACCCTGAACAAGTACATCTCAGTTTAGCCACAGGGCTCAGTGTAGTACACACTATCACCTGGTAGATTGCATACTCATACCCAAGTGAAACCTACTGCAAGCTACAATACATACTGTAGCTTTTTTTGTTTTGTTTACACCAGAGTATGATTGGCTTTGCTTTTTGTTACTGCTGTTAATGAAGACCACAGTGCACTTCCACATACAAGCAGTTTCTCAGGACTGCTAGGGATCTGGGATACAACGGTATCTCAGCTCCACTAGCAAGCAGGTAAACTGTAAATTTTGGAAACCAAACATGTTCTAATTTAATTTTTGTGGTACTCCATATATATTGCCAGAAAACAGTAATTTTTGGTCTTTCCCCATCTCTGCAGCCTGGAAATAGTCAGTAACCCCAAATCAAATGTTGATTTGGAGAAGAGGATAGCAGTACAAGTTCGTAAGTACAAGCTAGAGAAGATCACTCTTAACAGCATTCTGTGAAGTCAATCTAAAAGCAGCATGGGACAGATCTGTAGCAGTCATAACTTCATATGGATTAGTGCATTTTTCTATACCATAACAACTTATTTTCATCCATGTTGGCTTGTAGGTGAAAAACCACTGCCAGGATTATCACAACGGTGTGCATTTATACTGGCCATTAGGCCCATATCAGTTCCTGATAGCTTCATATATGAGGGCCTATCAAGAGAACCTGTGCAGATGTCATTAGTCCTCCAAACCAGGTTTCGGTTCACTAGCACAGTTTTGCAAATAAAGTTTTGGAGAGCAAGAGGTTTCCTCCACCTGCTGTACAAGCTAAAGATGATTTTTCTAAAGATGCTGATACCAGGCCTTTTCTGCTCAGCAAAAACACATATGAAGTTGGATATTGTAGGAAGTTTGTTAACATTTGCATGGAGTGCTCTGGAAAAGGTCTGGTGCCAGAATTTTAGGGGAAAAGTTCATCATTGTTTTATGCAATAAAGCACAAAGCTTTTGCTCACTTAAACACATGGGGATCTAAATGGTGTTGTAGTACTAAGTACAATGTTGTAAGACTGCGTCTTTGTTTCCTTGGCTTTTCAGAAGCTTTTCTAGACATTTAAATATCTTCAGCTGAGGCAGAGTGATCAGTGAATATTTGGAAGACAGAAAGGAAAGCAGAGGAGTTTAATCATAGGCTGGAGCTCACTCTAAGGCAGGGACTGGCAAGTTTCCAAGGATGGCGCACCAGACAGTCCCCCTTCCTCCCTCAAATTTAGATGATGAAGCATGTTGGGAAATGTTGTTTTTCAAAGAGTCAAGATGATGCCAACCTGCTTACTAGCAGTGTTCTACCTCGAGCAAGGCAGATGCTTTCAGTTTCTATCAAGTGCAACCTGCCTCTGCTATTCAAAGTCTGACCATGCACCCCCTTACCACTCACTCCGCAGGTTACTTACCCTGCATAACATCTGCCTCATGACTTTGCTGAGTTTTGCCAAACATCACAATATCTGAGAGAATAGATGGAAGTTGAAAAAGACAACTTTGGAATATTTTGAATAGCTAATCTCTCCCCTTTTCATACATCTGTAAGATCCAGGGAATTGGGTTCACAGAAATTCTGTGCTCATATTTTATGAGTAAAGATACAGAAGAAACTTTATGATAGTGCAATGAATCAAATGAATACAATGTATTATATGCAGTTTGCATACTTCAATTTTATTACAAATGGCTATTATTGGGGAGACCTACACTTTAATAGTCCTTTCCAGTTAAGTGTAGATTCTGACTAAAATGACTGCTTTGGCACAAGAGGATAGTGCAAACTGACAGAACTAAAATGGGACAAAAGACCTAACGTGGAGGCCGGACACGTTTTTATAAGGGGTTCAAAAATGTGCAAATGGGACCATATGTGCTCCCTCATCCTGGGGTGGAACGTCTGGAGGGACTGCCTTTGGCTTACAGTTGGAAGAATAAAAGCCTACAGGACTGCATTGCTTTCATATGTTACACATGAGCAAAGTGAAACAAAGTTCTGCAGCATGTTTAGCAGCTTTTACATCATGTCCAATGGTCTTTTCCTTTACGTCCCTTTCTCTTTCCACCTTCTCCATTTGACCACTTGACAGTTTCTCAGCATGTCACACACGCCTTTGCTCTTGAGCTGGTCTTGCAACACAAACTCTTCGCTTCTTTGGGCACTTTGCCTGCCGCTGGAATCCCTTCACAAGGCTAAAGATGAAGATGTTTGCCTTCTCTTTCCTCAGGTTTACCAAACGATTAGTAACATCCCTTCCTCTGTGGGCTGTGCCATGCAAGATGCTAGGAGAACAGAGAAATCAAAGGCACAATTATTAAACTCGTGTTAATAAAGCTCTAGTTCCTCATATTTTCAATCCCATTGCCCAGCTCTCAAATTTCAATCCCTTACTCTCTTCCCAAACAAGATAACCTCAAATGTCAGACTTTTTAAATTCCAGTTGACTGTTGTTCCATATTGTAGCAGTTCCCTTTAACAAATCCGTGGGCAAATATATGTTTCTATAGAAGAGGGCAGCTTTTTTTTTTTACTCTCAAAAAATTCAAGAGAAATTAATATTTCCACAATTATGTCTTTAATAATATTTCTGTGCTTTTTAAAGAAAGGCAAAAGGATAACTGCAGAAAGGTATGGACAGTGCTATAGGCTCATACAATAGCATTTGAGCTGCTTCTGGAAAGGAAATACTACAAACAGATGCTTGGGGAAAATTGCATGACTTTGTAACATGCATACTACCTATGAACAGCTTATAATCATAAACCATTTTCAAATTAAACAGAATGTTGAAGGCATGATGTATGCCTTTTTTTTCCTTTAACAATGAAGTGTACAGTAAGGTAAAAACCCAAAAAGTAGAAAGCTAGATACCTTTTATAGCTCCTGCAACCACAAACATTTACAGATGCAACACTTAGGAAAAGCTCCTCAACCTCAACTGACAAGTAATATAAAAATGTTAACATTTTTATATATGTGAAGTTAAAAACCTAAAGGCATTAACCAGCTTTGGTCTCAGTTTTTCCTTTCAGTTTTCACTTCACAGAACTAAGACTGCCTGAAGTAGTGCATGTATCAATTAAGATAACCCATCCTGTTGTATCCTCATAAACTGGTAGGAAAGCACAAATGTGAGGCACAGGGAATTAAAAAGTAGGAAAATTTAGCATATACCAGTATAAGGATTGGGGCTATATAGTGCCTTTGGCATCTGCAGGCATTTCACACAATTGGTATGAACAAGCTTTCTTCACAGATTAATAGTTCTAGCCTGGTTATCATTTCAGCTGTACCATGACAAAGGCAGAGCCTGCTTAGCTTAGAGAACCACAGCAGCAGCCTTGTCCACAATCTGCTTACTAACATCCACAGGATATAAAGGTAACATCCACTACCTGGAAGAGGCACTTCCAAATTTACTTGAAATGGCATAAAATAGTACAAATAAGAACATCATCTTTCTTTGTACTTACCAAATGAGGTTCCCTCTGCAGGACTGCCAATCTGTTTTCCTGGGAGGCATCATATTTGATCTTTCATAAAATAGTCTTGGCTCTCCAGGGAACTTCTCTTCTAGTTAAGAGTCCATAGGTGCCTGCATAGCTTCCAGCTGCGTTTCTGCTTTAGTTTCGACACAATGCTCTCTATTCCATGAGAGCCTCTCTGCCAAATTCAGTTCATCGCAATGCAGCACATGTCCTAGGAATGTTTTTCTGAAGACTTTTGTATTTGGTGTTCTTAATAAATCCGTTATCAGGTTTCTTGACTTTGATACACATCCTTGAGTTATTCTTTCCTGGAGATTTGTTCAACTATCTAGTGCTGGGTGGTGTCGGTGATCTCTTAGCTACCGGGAACACAATCTAAACATGATCACTTATCTCTTCACAGAGAGATGGTCCAGAATCTTTGTTGGAAATACAGGGGATGGAGGCTGTGGTCAGTTTTAGAAGTCTAATTTTACAAAACCTGGATCTGCAGCAAACATGCTATTGGTATATCTCAACATCTAAATAGGAGGAAGACAGCTGGTCTGGAGGATACTAAAGCAATGTTTACATGGAAAAGCTATTAAAGCAGTATTATGAACCTGGAATTGGCATCTGTTTACACCAATCTTATAGCGGCGTGGCTTATTCTGAAACAGAGGTATGCCACTTCAAGGCAAATAAATTGTAGTTTGACAACACAAACTAAAAGAATATGAGGATATAGTTTTGGTTCGCATTAAGTATAAAATCTTTCCAGTTTAGACCATGTCTAAGCTACCATGCAGAAGAACTCAGTTAACAGCTACGGCCCCAATTCTACAAACACTTATGCATACGTTTAACTTAGGTTCATTACTAATTTATATCATTCATGTGAATGAAAACATTCACTTCTTTGAAGTTACGCATAGGTGGATATATTTGCTTGACAAGCCAGATTACAAAAATGTAAAGAGTTGCAAAGCAATATTTTGAGTGTTTCTAAGCATACAGTATTGAAATGTTATGTTATTAAACAGCAGGAGTAAGGTCATACCCAACAGAATCTGAGGGGGGCACTGAGGGGTACGATCCAGATGCTGGGGTGGTCTCTCCTAAGGAGGCCTCCTCCTGTGGTATGGGGTGATGTTCAAAGAACTTGGACACAAACAGCAAACTGTGAGGCAAGAACAAAACAAAACCAACCTAACTTGTGCAAAAAACAGAAGCTTCACAATATAACACATTAAGATTGAAAAAACCCAACCCCTCACTGATCAAATTCTAAATTGTAGAATAAAGACTACACTAAACACATTAATCTGCAAGATTTGTTAAAAATATTATTCACTTGACAAAGGATCAAAAGATCATGCCCTAAACATACTTTTGCAGAAAGTAATTTTTTAATCTTGTAATTGAAATTGCAAACATCTGGTTTCTCAAGAATGCACAATTTATACCTATATATTGAGTACACAAACTTCTTTTAATGTTTGCACTGATGCAATGCCAAGAACCAAATGCCAAATGGATAGAACTATGCTATCCATAAGCCCTGAGCAAAAACTCTAGAGATGCCCAAGGAAACAGCTACAAATACAAACATAAGCAGAAATTAAATTTATTCTTGGGGGGAAAACTAGCATTTTAAATGATTCCTTACATGAAAGTCTATTTTTAAATAGACTTAATAGCCTCTGCTGAAACTGATCAAATAGAACACAGAGCCAGTTTACACCAGATCCTTAACCTACATCAAAGACTTACACAAATAAATCAATAATTAAATTCAGGAACACATGACTGTTTAGGATATTCTGTTCTATGTTTCTTACCTAGGCAAACTCACCAATGAATTTATTTTCAATCACTGTAAAACCAACTCCAGTTTCACCATATTATACTAGTGTCTCTTAACATTCTCTTCAGGTCGAAAAGAATAAACCCGCATCTAAACATTTAAACAGGGCCCTAGCCATCACATAATAAAGAACCAGTTTTGATTAAGAATAACAACTGTGAACAATGAGAAGTCTGTCTCAGAGTCAAGTGCTCAGCCACCCCATTCATGCTTCAAAGAAAGCATTTCATAGTCCAGCAAAAAATATGAACTGGTTGTCTGAGCTAGCACAGAAAGAATATGAATTATGCAGTCTCACAAGAACAGTTGAACTCCTGTATTTTTTTCAGGCACCTCCTCTGACTTCTTGCATTACAGATTTAACATACAAAAATCACTGACAGCTGTAAGCTTAATAAAAGACTCAACTTTAAAACCAATTGTGATTACTTACTCAAGTTGGTCATAATTAACACACATCAGTGGCACTTCTGTACTACAGCGCTGGTGAAATTTGTAGCCACATGTCTGGCACCGGAATCCCTGGAAAAGCAGCTTTCGACAAAAGTCGCAGAATGCTAACGTGAAGAATGTTTTTCGTACCTACATTGTCAAAAATAATCATAATCAAATAAAGTCCTCCTGTAAGCCTAAGATGGACTATATGATTTCTACCTCCCTCAAATACACTTACAAGCCTCTTTTTTGATGCTGGACCTACAGTTTATATATCAAACATTTACGTAAAATGTTGTCTCCTTTTTGAAATAGTCTTTATGCATTAAAATTTTCTTTCAACTATTTATTGGAATTAATGTTTCACTTCATTAGCACTAAGAAAAACAGCAAAAAATCTGAAGCAAAACAGTGTACTATTATCATGCCAGAGACAAACATTCAGTGTTTAATTGGATACAAGCTATAAAAACAAAAGCTGCTGAAAGATTATCTCATCTTCTAATTTTTCCAGGAGCCAAATGACATTTCTATCTGACACTCCTAGGACTGGAAATACATATATGGCTTTTATATATATATA